GGGGGCTGCTGGAAGTGGAGTCTGGGTGAGGCTGGGCCGCATCAAGTATTCCACCACTGCGGTGGTGGCCCGCGGGCCGTGAGTTTGAGACCCCTGGTTTAACCTCTCTTTCAAACACCACAGTTCCAGCCCATATTGGGGCAGTATGCCTACTTTTGACAAGTAATGCAATGTGATTCTCTTATTTAGTATGAATTTTAGACTTTCTTAATGTTTTTCCTTAGCAGATAAAAAACTTAATTTGAGGAAATTGTTTCTCTTACAGATGAACAATGATTTCTAATATTACTTTAATACAAGAACTGATACTCAGGCAATCTGGGTTCTGGACTCAGCCATGGGGTTCACTGGGAGACTTTTGGGCCAGTCACAGATTTTCAACCCAACCTACCTCACAGGGTTGTTGTTGGAGAATAAGACTGAGAGAAGAAGAAGGAAAATTACATAAGCTGAGTTCTTTGAAAGGAAAAAAGAAAGGATATAAATATTATACATAAATATTTCTCAGCCCACAAAGTTCTGCAATAGCAGGGGATGAAGGCTGGACAAAACTCACAGTTGCTCTTCCAGATTCCATGAAATCCACAGCCATCATTTCTCACTAGAATGCCTTTCAACAATGTGGCATCATCCCAAGGAGATTTTGGGGAGAAATGGCAGTTGCATATCAAATAAAGCCCTGAAGACACCAGTGAATTTCATCCATCAACATTTGCCCCTTCCAAAAAATGCAAAAGGGAGAAGGGAGGTTAGCCCACCTTGACCATTACCACTGAATGCCTAAGCTTGGCTAAAAGTTCCTATTGAAGGACTTTTGACCCACCCTAGCTCAAGGCTGCCACACATCTATTCCTCCATACAGAGCTGAAAAACCCATGTCTATCCCCCACCTTGACAGTAGAGCAGAGAAAATGCAACCTAATGTTTCACAGTGCCTCCTAAATGGAAATGCTCATTGTTTCCTTTGCTGCCAAAGGCTTGCTGTACTGAAACCTGAGCTTGGTCTTTCTGGATCTTCTTCCTTAACCTTTTAAGGACGAACTGCATCACAGATTATCAGGTGGGAGGTCTTGTAAAAAGGGCCTAACCCTGTGAGCGCCATGACAGATGCACACACATCTCTGAACATGGATGGAAGACACTTATGTGATCCAATGAGCAGAACAAGGCTTAGATGCAATCTTGGCCACTGGCACAACTCAACCTGTGTATTTGCTCTAGACAGCTATTTTATTGACTTAACACCAGGGAAAGAAGGAGGCTGGAGTGTTAATAGAAATCCACATATGATGATGACCTCAGCTTTCTCCCCATCTCTCCCCTTTTTGCCCTCTGAGGCCCTGTTGTGCATTGGTGAGGCTTGTCCTTCAGACTCCCAGTTCCAGTATCACAGGACCGCAGAACTGAGGCTCTGAAAAATCCTATGGCCCTTCCCACTGGCAATGTTGGGAGGCCACAGGATTGCAGCCTTATACTTTTCAGAAGTATAATAAAAAGGATGAATAAGATAACTATATATGTAACTATATAACTGACTATTTATATAATGTTATGATGAACTGCCAAGATGAAAGGAGTAACTGCCAGGGAAATTCAACAGGTTAAAAAATACTAAAGCATCTTGCTCCACTTGACAGTTCAGCACCACAGATATCTTCCTTTTGTCCCAGCATCAGTGTGACAAAAGAAATGCAGATCTATGAAAGTGGCATTTCCTATTACATTCCATTTTACAACAGACAAAATAGACTTTCAGGACATTAGATAAACCCAATACAAGAGAACTAGCACAAGGTAACCACTACATCCCCCACCCCACAGTAGATGTGCATCAGCAGCAAAACAAAGGAAAATGTATGATTATTATTGAAATGCATACAGTAGCTACAGGAGAAAAGCTGCTAACAAGAAGGTAGCATGCAAAACAAATAAGATACACATTAAATATATGCATTTATTTTATTTCAATTGTGTTTAGGCTAGCCTCAAAGATACATCCCATTTCTGAGCAATGAGAGGTTTCAGTGCTCACCCACATTGCAGTCTCCATTGGAAGGAAGTTACAGGATATTAATGGTATTTTGTAATATCTGCATTTAAGCACAAGTTGATCATAAAGCTGAATGAATCCCATCAGTCTTCTAGAAGGCTAAATGTTCTTAGTTTCCTGAATTTCCCTCAGAGTGACTCCAAAAACTGCAGATTTTTCCTTCATCTCCTGCTTACATGATGACCTGACCCCTCCAAGTTGCAGAGTTGTGTCTCCAGTGGCACCTCTTGAAAACTGTGAAAATGTCAACACTACAACACTACAACTATATATCCCCAAACATTTCAGTAATCCTTGGGTTAAAATGATTTATATATTTCATTTTTATGCTGCTCAATAGTCAAGGCTCTCTGGGTAGTAAACAAAAGTTAAAATTAAACAGATGTTAAACCATAACAGCAATTGCAAATGCTATGATTCAGCATTGGAGCATGGTAGTGATACAGAATAAAATGGAATATATATAATGAAGTTTCATTTTCTCATTAAAATACTGAGAAAATGAAGAGATTTACCCTGGCACTGAAAAGAATACAAAGTATGCATCAGGCACATGTCTTTGGAAAATTCATTCCAAAACCAGGGTACCACTACCCAAAAGGCCCTGCTCCTGGTAGCAGTCAGTATTGCAGGAAAAGAACTGATGTAATGTGTTCTCATAAGCCAGTCCCCATTAACAGTCTTGCTGCCCTGTTTTGGATCAGTCGAAGTTTCCAGACCATTTTCAAAGGCAAGCTCCATGTACAGTGCATTGCAGTAATCCAAATGAGAGCATTGATAAACTGCAGCTAGGCTCTCTCTGTCCCAGCTGAGTTGTAGCTGATATATCAGTTAGGTGCTCCGTGCCACAGAGTCTACCTGTATCACAAGTGGCAACTCTGGGTCCAGGAACAACCCCAAACTATGAACCTTGTTCCTTAGGGGAAGTGCAACCCCAGCCAGAACAGGTTGAACATCACCCAACTCGACAGACGAGACATCCACTAACAGCACCTCTGTCCTGTCTGGACTGAGTCTCAGTTGTTGGCCCTCATCCAATCCATCACCATGCTCTGACACTGATTCAGAGTAGTGACTGCCTCACCTGCATTTGATGAAAAGGCAAGGTAAAGCTGAGTGTCATCCACGTATCAGTGACACCTCAGCCCATGCTTCTGGATAACCGCTCCTAGCAGTTTCATGTAAACGTTAAATAGCATAGGGAATAAAACAGATAGCAGTACTCCCTGGCATTACTGCCATGACTCCAGCACCAACTTTCTGGAATTGGCTGGACAAGTAGGAGTAGAACCACTATAATGCAGTGCCTCCTACTCCTACCCCAGCCAGCCTGTCCAGAAGGATACCATGGTCAATGGTATCAAAAGTCTCTGAGAGGCCCACAGGGGGTCACACTCCCACTATCCTTCTCTAGTCAAAGATCATCCCACAGGGTAACCAAAGCAGTTTCTGTTCGAAAACAAGGCCTGCAGGATTGAAATAGATCTACACAATTCATTTAATTCAAGAGTGCTTGGAACTGCTCCGCCACCACCTGCTCAAGCACCTTGCCCAGGAAGGGGATGTTGGCCACTGGCCTATAGTTATTAACATCTTCTGGGTCCAGGTTAGGCTTTTTCAGGAGTAGCTTAATTATAGGCTCTTTTAAAGAGGCTGGCACCACTCCCTCTCTCAGGTGTTCACAGCCACCTGAAACCAGGTAGAAATCCCTGAAAATAAGAGTGTATAAGCACTTGTTGTTTGTATGGGGCGGGGGGGGGGGGGGAATTCAGTTGGCTCTATCCCAGTCTGGTTTTGCACAATGATGTCACCACACGAGTGCATCCATTATTTTTATGGTGGAATCCATGAAGAAGATTGTGAGGTGAGATTTTGGGGTGGATTTGTGGTAAACAGTGCTGGAGACTCCAAGTAAAAAAATCAGAATCCATAAGAGTTCTGTGACCCAGATTCATGCATCTGCCTCATCATGCCGTGAAACATTAGATTGTGTTTTATCATGTTCTCTATGGGCAAGATGTGAGCCATGTGGGTTTGGGGGGGGATACTTTATGTAAGAACAAGGACCAATGAAGAGTAATGCCTTAGGTCCATGTTTTCACACCTTAATAACCCACAGGTTGTGGGATCTGCAATTTTTACGGCTCTTCTCATGAAAGATGTAAGCAGTGTTTGACTGTGTATTTCAGGAACTCTCCATTTTTCTCCAGACCTGCATCCCAAAACACTGGCACCTTAATTTTATTAAGCAGTTTATGCAAGGAATGCAAACCAAGCTGAAATTTTAATAGTATTTCTGTGCAGGCTGTGTTACATATCAAAAATAAATATTTAGCTTGTTTCATTTCTACCACATTCAGTTTTTATAACTGCTATTCAAGCAATGCTTAGGCAACTTTTGTCTAGGGAAAAGGAATGGAAGGTCATATATAAAAATAAAAATTAAAAGGCAACCCCAAATTCTGCTCAGCAAGAAAAACAGGAAGGAAAGTCACAAGAGAAATAGGTAGAAGATAACATAAGGACTGGTCCTGGTAAATAGACATAACTGGAAGGGAGATGTGGGTTTAAGAATAAACCGCTTGTCGTAGTACGTAACGCAATCTCAATTTCTCAATGCCAGTACAGGGCAGATAAAAACCAGTCCTGCTCCTCAGCTCAGCGAGCGTGTTTTGTGCCGCAAGGCGGAGGATGCCCCTCCGCTGCCACCTCCACTTCGAGCGCGCGTTGGAGCCGAGCAAGGCTGGGGGCGCCGTTCGCGTCCGCTCCTCGCACTAGCAACTCGCTCACCGGCCGCTAGCTGTCGCACTGGCTCCCGCCTGTGCTACTACTGCTGCTTCGCCTAGAGCTGCTGCTGCTGCTGCTGCTGCTGCTGCTGCTGCTGGGTGGCCTCGCGTTCACTCCCCGTTTGGCGAGCACAACGCAGGGCGGCGAAACCGTCAAGCAGCCGCATCCGGAGTCGCACCGTGGCGGAGCAAAGGAAGTAACGCGGCTGCGGCGGCGGCCTGGCGAGAGCGGCGCAGGCCGTGGGGAGCAAAGACCGGGCTGCTTGGCGGCCCGAACGGCGGAGTGGGGGAGCAGCCATGTTGGCAGCGAGGGGGATAAAGTGACTCTGTTGCGCCGGGAAGGGAAACCACCGGAGGCCCCCCCCGCCCTCGGCACCAGGGCAGAACAGGAAGCGGCTCTTGGGGCGGCGGCACGGGAAGGCAGGGGGCTCGCCTGCAGCAGCGTGCGAGGCAGGAGGGAAGGGAGCGCAGGGAAGACCCGCCCCAGCGCCGGAACGGCAGAGACCAGGCGCCGCCGCCGCCGCCGCCGGTGAGTAGGGAGCTCTTCATTGTCTCCTGTGCGCGCGGGTCGCGGGCCTGGCTCGGGGCGAGTGAAGTCGCTCTCGCGGCTTCCGTGGACTCCTACGGAGGATCACCAGCGGCCGCAGCTTGGGACGATCGGGACAGGTCTTTCGGCGGCGCGGAATGCACGGGACGTGCTTGTTAGGAAACGGTTAACCTTTGGGGACTGGGGCGGGGGCGCGCATGGGATTGAAGGACTGATCTCTGGTGCGTGCGTGTATCTGTCGGATAGATAACGAAAGTCGGTGGCAGATCTTTGACTTTCCGCCGCTCTTCGCCCCGCCCGCTCCTTCTTTCGATTAGGAAAGGGGTCGTCCAAGCGGCTACAGTGTGCGAGGGAATGAGATGCGGTTCTGAGGATCGTTCCCGGGTGGGTGCTTTTCCCCTTGCTTTGTGCCCTCGGAGATTGGGGATGGGCCGCGGAGAAAGGGAGGCACGCGGCGTTTTGGGTGGTGAATTTCCTCTACCTCCATCCTGGGCTGCCTTTCGCCCCCACTCCCATGTCCGTGCAGTGTGCATCTGTCAACGCTTCGCCGGTGGGATCTGGGTAGCTTGGCGGCGTGGTGGAGCTCTTGTGCTCGCGCAACTCCGAAAAGCTGCGCAGAAATAAAGACAGGATGAAGAACTAGAACAACACCAGAGGATTAAACAATGTTCTCGTGTATGTGTGTGTGTTGTGTGCGTGTGCAGAGGGGTGGTGGGAGGCTAGTGGAAAAGAAAAGGGCTCGTTTTGATGGTCAGCTCTATCAGCTGAGGCCACAGAACAAAATCTGATCATTGTACTGATATTGTGCAGATTCTAATGCTGAGCTCCGTTTTGTACACAGCCTCTCATAGGATCGCAATGGTGTTTGCTTCCTGGCAATCGCTCCCTCCCACCTTTTGCTTCAGTGGCACATTCTGTCATTCTTTATACATTCCTAGGTTTCTTTGCCCCTTCCGTCTTTTCTTGCAAAACCTTCTTCCCCCTCCTTTCCTCCTGAAGTGCTCTTTAAATGACAGGATATATGAACACTTACTGACCCTGAACCACGATAACCTCCCTTCTGCCAGCACCCTTCCTCTTCTGGGATCTCTAATGTCATAGATTCAGTGTGAGCAAAATAGCCTGTTCTGCAAGAACAGTGGAGCCTACTTGGTATGAATCACCATTTGAGTGTTTGTGGAAACCATCACACTGCAGTGTTTTCACATATGAATTAGCTCCTTTTTTGCTCTTTGGCTGGTCTTGTTCTCCTCTTATTCTTCTTGCAAGGAACTAGAGCAAAAGCATTCTTTTCAGACTCTTGTTGTTACTTGAGTAGCATAGCAGAGTTAAAAATGAAAGTGCATGCATGCATATATGAACGTATGCCTGTATATATGTAAATGCATGAATGTGCAAAGATTGCATTCCAATGTTGTGACTGTTGAATGGGTTGAAAATCTGCTGACCGCTGGTGGGAAGCTAAGTGCCTTTCAAATGAGCTACAGCACATATCCTTTGGTGTGGGATTTTTTTCCATTGATACTTATGCATTCTTTTAAAAGGTAATTTAATTTCTGCAGCACCATTTGGGGTTCATTAGTTTAAAAAAAAAGTGAGTGGTGGATGGCCATGGCAGAGGTATACTGAATTATGTATGGTGTGGAGAAAGTTTTTCTCCCTTTCCTAATACCGACACCTGAGATCATCCAGTGAAGTGGAATGACAAGAAATTCAAGACAGACGGAAGGAGCTATAGCTTCCCACAACATACGTTAGACTGTGGAATTCACTACCACTAGATGTGGTGCCAGCCACTAACTTGGATGGCTTCAGAGGTGGTGTGCCTACATGTACCAGTTGCTTGGAAACACAAGCAGAGGGTACAGTTGCATTCATATCCTGCTTGTGGGCTTTTTACAGGCATCTGGTTGTCTGGCTTTGGTCTGATGCAGTAGGGCTCTTTTTGTGTTATTATATAACATTCCTGAATACTGTTCCATTTATTATATTGACTTTTAGTGTCAAATGATATACCGGGTGGCCCAAAGGTAGGTATACAGTACTGGTCAGGTCATGGAGGACCTCACACAGTGGACAAATTGAAGGAGTTCATCTTGCAAGTATTTATCGATGTTGGTGCCAACCAGAATTTGTGTTACAGTGTTGGGGACAGATTTCAGGATGTTGTAATATTGAGGGAGGACATCTTGAGCACCTAAGAGACTAAACATGACCCAGTCAGTACTGTATACCTATTTTTGGGCCACCCAGTAAATTAACTCAAGATTTGGTCACGCATTAGATTTGTTTTATCTATTTTATATTTTATTAATGTTTATTGTATTTATTTTTGGTATACACCAAAGCCCCCTCCATTGAAGTATGACTGTGTTAGGCATGTGCATCATACTGTTGCCCTAATTAGAGGGACATGATTGTCCGGTGGCAGTTTTTCCTTTCTCCTGAGTAGGTCTTTTCTCCTGACAGTGTTTTCTGTCAGCCAGAGCAATTTCACAGGATCTACTGCCATTTTACTCTGGACTGCTGGGGATAAAGTTTGGAGATCAAGTCAGGGCTTAAAATTGACCGGCTTTTGGAGGGACAATGAGACGTTCCTGTGATTGAGCCTCACAGACTACCTTTAACCTACTGCATTTCCTTCTGAGTCTTTTCCAAGGAGTAGAGTATTCTGTAGAATCTCCAATCTTTTCTTCTGCAGAGTTCTCACCAAGATTAGACACTCTCAGGTCTGACACTTAGCAGAGATTTGAAATGTTTTTCTTCATAACATTTATTCCCTGCAGCATGCTGGGACCATGCCATGTTGTATTTAATTTGGCTGCAACATTAAATTTGCAAAATATTTTGGGCTAGATGTCCTAAGTTTCTAAAATCTCTCTTTGTTCTCTTCTTCTGCAAAAGTAGATGACAGTTACCTAAGGACTGAGATCCCAAACTATCCAGTAGGAAAATACAGTGCTTGATCTGCAAATGTGAAAATTGATTCACCATCAAAGTTCACTAGAGCAAGCCCCATATTTATTTGGAACAAATATAAGTAACTAGGTGGAATGTAAGTGTGAGTTGTCAACTGACCCAAAGGTCACTTTGAGAGCAATCATGCATGTTTACTCAAAAGTAAGTCCACTTGCATGCAACAAGGCTTTCTTCCTAGTAAACATGTTTTGGATTGCCATCTTCTTTCTCATTGCTTAAAAAAGGAAAGAATATGGACTTATTTTTATATAACTTTTCTTGACCTTAATGGTAATACTCCAGGGCACATAGAATCAATATACCTTTTCTAGAAGTAAGCTGAATAAAACCTAGTACTATGAGTGAACTTGGTGGCCTAAGCTAAGTAAAATTGTTACCATGCTTGCTTTTCCTGTATGTTTTCTTTATCATTATTCTGACTCTGCAAGTTCCTAATTGCTGACTCCAGTCCAACTGTTGCATGCTAATATTCTGCACAACCATTTCTTCAATACAGGTTGAAGGTATTCCTTATGCCTATAACAAGGGTTTCTGGGCATAGATAGCATGCATATTTAAACTTTTATACATGAAATACTTAAGTGTGTAAAATAAAAGTGGCATTGAAAGATGGATGGTATGAAAAAAAAACCCTTTGTTCTTACATTTGTAGTCTGCTAAATAACTAAAGTTCTGGGTGTTGTACAGGTAAATTAAAAGCATAAAGTGCAAATATAATAAATAGTGATAAAACAGTACATAATAAAACCAAGATAAAACCAGAAGCAAAAGTTAGAAAGAACGTAGTGCATAAAACCAAAGTAAAGATCAGCAACTGAATAAAAATCCTTGTGCTGTTATTGATGCTTGTTTGATGCTTTATTATTATTATTTTAGAAAAACTGTTCTTATTTTTCCTTCACTCAAACCATTGGTGACCTTGAATCTTCATGCAGTTTCTGGCTTCTATAAGCAGATGCCTAAACAACTTATAAAAATATCAGGAAATTAGTATATTTTGGAACCTGAGTATATAATGCACTTGTGTACATGTCTCTAAAGTAATTTCCATTGCGTTTAGTAGGACTTTCTCTCATGTAAGGATGTCTATGATTGCAGTCTCAACTTGCAAAATGGAATGAAAAGTCCATGCAAACATATCTGTGTAGTGATCAAATACTAGGGATGTTCATGCATAAAACCAGCATTGGGCAGCAAACCATGGGTTAATTAATTTGTGGAGACATATGCTACTTATGAGCCATTTCCAGTTAATCCAAAAACAAACCATGGAAAAACTTTGGGTTACTTAATTCATCACCTATCCGAAGTATCTGAGTTCAGATGTCATGCCAGGGACTTACAAACAAGGCATTTGTTGCTGCAAACTAGAAATGGCTTGCACACTGTGACTTACCCCACCAAGTTATAAGTTAATTAACCAGAGATTTGTTGCTCTTACATGAAAATCAAGTTGCTGCCTCAACTTTACAGAATAAGTTGACATGCCTTCTATTTCCACTGATCTGTTCCATGTACTTTTACCTACTTTATTATCAATCTTCTCCAAAGCCTTCCTACCTTGACCAGACTCACCTGGACTTGATCTCTGCTTCCCTCTGCTTCTCCCACTGAGACCTTGTCCATTTCCTGACTCAGCTCTTTCCCCCACTTCCCTCTAATTGCCAGAGTCCCTGGTAGGACTGTTACGTGCAGGTGCTTCCTCCTGGCAGCTTTGACCTATGAGTGTTCTTCGCTTCATATAGCTTTATCACTAAAGAAAGTTGAATGTGTGAATGAGCATACTAGCCAGTACATCTATATGTGTAGAAAATACATTGCACTGTAGCTGGCTTGCGTTGGATCTGGCGTGATAATCCAGCATCGCGTTGGCTTTGGGCAGCTAGAACCAAAATTAAATACTGTATGCTGTACAGACTTTTGACTGAGCTGCAGTTGATTCATAGGAAGGACTAAAAACATTAGGTGGGTATTTTTAGCTTCTGCCAAGTATTTGTGTCATC